TGACCTTATGAGAAACGTTAAAATTCTTCCGAGAAAAGAAAAATTACATGGGACAAATATTTGGTTCTACATTTTTAAAAGGAATATTACAGAGGAATAAATGAAAGTAAAAGTCCTTATTCTTTCTCTTTATTTCTTCTTTTTAGAGGTGCATACTAGGGTTTCAATTCAAGGCTTCTTATTTGCTAGGCTGGCATCCATATGCCCGAGTCACTCTCCTGGTTCTGATTGTTTCAGGGTTTTGGGTTGTTGTTGGATATAGTATCTCGCCTCCTGCATGGGTATGCATGGATGAGAGCTACCACAGGCATATGCTACCTGCGACGCTCTCAGTTGAGAAGGGAGTCAGGGAGGTCTAGGAAGGAATTTCAGAGGAATTCTTTTTCTTTCGTCCTTCATATACTTCTGAATCCCCTCTTTAAACAGACATTGTCCAAAAATATTAACCAGTTTGTCTTGAGACTTACCATACATACCATTACAGTTGTATCATGGACAAAAATAGTAAAAATGATGAAAATGCATTTTCTTGAGAAATTCACTCCTTGACTGGTAAAAGTAGTGCAGCAGTATGAAAGAACAGATTGTGAGCTCCCAGCATCTGGGATATTCCACAAGTAGCTCAGACCAACATCTGGACTTACTGAGTAGACCCTTGCCTCCATTCCTGTCCCTCCTGGGTTCTCTCTCCAAACATCACCATTACCACCTTATCCATGCGCCCTCAGGATGCCTTTGGAGATTGCTTTGCTCTTCTCTGAACAGAATCTGTCACTAAGTCCATTTCTTTCTAGCCCTTGAATATCTGTTATTCATTTTGGCACATCTTACCCTGTCACCTTTCCTAGACTTACAAAAACCTAACCGGTTTCTCAACATGAACCCTCCCTGCCTTCAATGCACTCTCCTTGATGGGCAAATGGATAGTTTTAAAGCAGGCCTGATCAGGTGAACACTTTGCAAGATGAAGTCCAAGCTCTTCAGCTAGGTACATGCAGCTCCCTCCTCACCCCCTCCCCACCCTGCCTGCCCTCCTCTTTTTTCCAGCTCCAAATACTCACCTTGCATTCCTTCCAAGATGGACCTCTCAGAGGCTCCCAACCTTGCCATGCTCCCCTGGCCTGGAGTCTTTTCCCCTTCCCCCAGGGCTTAACCCAATGACCCCTTCCCTTCTCGTCCAGGAAGCAGTCCTTGACCTCCCCCACTCTTTAGGAGGCTGGGCCAAGGATTGTACCTCTGAGCTTCCTGGTGCCTGCTGAAATGGTCTATTTACAGCTGTCTCTACAGGAGATGCTAAGCATCAGCACAGAAAGGGAGAAGACTACCTGCTGATTACCATTTTACCTCCTGGCTCCATTATGCAGAATCAGAAGATGACATTGTCAAAGTTAATTTTCTGGACTTTTATCATAAAATGAGAACATAGTAGGTATGCACAAACAACAATGGACAAATAAAACATTATATTGACTGAAATTCAGTTCTGAGATAAATACATTCAGGCCTGCTACTTGTACCCACATTTACATTTGGTGTCACCAATGTGACTACAAATTAGCGACTAGCCAGTGGACATTTATTCTTGATGGTCACACAGTTAGCATGACAGAGAATGGGCCCTTAGGCCTAGAGGTGAGGCTCAGTGGTATCCAGCCAGCCTAGCAAATGCAAAGCCCTGAGTTGAAATTCCAGAACCCCAAAAGCAAAAAATGAAAGAAACAAAACTAAAACATGGGACTGTGGGCCAAACACGTGCAGACAGACTTTTCTGAAGCTGAGATGGGGTCTCTCTAGCTGACAGCATTGGCTCTGAAGTTAAGGTCAAGTTTAAACCCTCCTTGTCACTTACCAAAGAGGAAACATTCACCTTCCTGGGACTCTGCTTCTTCATCTGAGAAACAAGTGCCCAGTTTAAAAGCCCACAAGTAGGAATGGTCTGTCTGCTATTTTTATGCACTGAGTTTGAAGGAGGCTTGAATAAGAGGGGTCCCAGAAAAAATAAAATAGTCTACCAGTATACTAAATATACTGTCGTATATTTATACGTAAAGTTGAAAGATGGCAAATAGGTTAAAGTAATTTAGCAATAGGCTGTTCTAAAAACATTCTGTGGCCAAAATATACATAAACAATTACCGACAAAATTATAAAGTCTCTGGTGTTCTGAAAGAATACACAGAGCCTACAGCAATCACTTCAGAGTCAGGAAGTCTACTGCTACCCAACCTATGATTTACACTATTTGTAAGTTTTAAAAAAAAATGGTCTAAAATTGCACTGTTTTCTTTCCTTTTCTTTTTTTTTTTAACTGCTACATAAACAGTATGACAAGATGATTCCACAGTGCTTTGTCATTATATACACTGAGAATTTTTAAGACACTGGCTTAATGCAGCCCTGTTATAAAACAGTTCATTTTGACTTCATAGTAGGGTGTGTAGCTGAAGATATGGGAATCTAAATACTCACATACAAAGTCACGAAAATCTTAACTTTCATATCTTTTATAATACACGGATTAAATCTGTGATTGATATAAATCACAAGAAAACTTGTAGGAATTCCTTTGGTTTTCCAAATTTTTGTCAGTAGGTCAAGGCAACCTCAGAGTCCTTAAAATGGGATGCACATTAGCAAGGGCTCTTAGTTCTCTCTTGTTACCTGTATTCTTGTAGGACAGTGTGCAGCAATATTTGCATTTTCATCACTTGCTCAAAGAAATTTCTTAGTGAAGCCACCAGCACTGTATTTAACCTTGTGAATATGGTATTTTAATCTATGCATGATCTTAGTTTTTAGTTCCAACATTATTCCAAAAGGGCTTAAGTTCTTTTAGTACTGAAGTTCTCCTATTTAACAACAAAAAAACAAAACCCTAAATAAATGAAAAAGTATTATAGTCTTACAGATTGGGCCTATAAGATACCAGAAATGTATCTTATTATTCCAAAATACCTTATTGCTTTTTATCTTATATAAAAAGGAGCAGAATAGGTTGAATCTCACAACCTAAAGGACTTCCAAAACCTACTTTCATGAGAAAGTACTCAGCTGATTTTCATTCAAACCCACAGATTTATTGTTAGTTAATTAATTACCTTGCAGAGCTGCAGATCAAGCTCAGGGCCTCTCACATGGTAGGCAAACATCCTACTACTGCATAGAGTTACACTTCTGGCCCACAAACCCATATAATTAAATTCATAGATTACTTTTATTTTTTTTTGTCAGTTGTGGGGCCTGAACTCTGGGCCTGGGCGCTGTCCCTAAGCACTTCAGTTCAAGGCTAGCGCTCTACCACCTGAGCCACAGCACCACTTCCAGCTTTTTCTGCTTATGTGGTGCTGAGGAATGGAACCCAGGGCCTCATGCATGCAAGACAAGCACTCTACCACTGAGCCACCTTCCCAGCCTCACAGATTACTTTTTTAAAAGAAGAATGCCTCATTTTAGGGGCCATGTATAGCAAAAGGATATTATGTTTTTTATTTCTTTTTTAAGGGCCATGTATAAGAAAAATAAATGTTTTGTTTCTTTTTTCCTAGAAAGTGCTTATATGTTGGATTAAATGAGCATTTTCTATAGCAACAATGAAATAAGCACAGTGCAAATGTTATAATTCTACAAAGAAAAGTTTTCAGGGCGAGGTTCATACACAAATTCCCAGCCATGTAGGAAGGAAAGATTGGGTAGACTGTGGGTTGAGGCCAACCAGTACAAAAAGTTAGCTAGACTTCATCTCAATCAACCAAGTGCATTGGCCTATAGCTATAATCCCAACTACAGGGTTCAAGATCACTCTAGGAGAAAAGTGTAAGATCTTAGCTGAAAAATAACTAAAGTAAAAAAAGCGTTGGGGATATGGCTTAAGTGGGCGAGTATATGCCTAGCAAATACAAAAGCCAGAATTCAAACACTAGTAATTCCAGAAAGAGAGAAAAGGGAAGAAAGAAAGGAAAGGAAAAAGAAGAAGAAAGAAAAGAAAGGAAAAGGAAAAACACAGAAAAGGAAAAGTTAGCTCACACTAAATCCTAGCTACGAGAGGATAAAACTGTGACAATCATCACAATTCAAGACCAGGTTGGGCAGTAAAGCCCCCTACACTCTGTCTCAACAAGCTCGACATGGTGGCACATGGCTATGATCCCAGAAACAGGTGAAGCCTAAAATAGACAGATCATAGTTCAGGTGCATGCCAGGCTGGAACTGAGATCCTATCCTGAAAACAACCAATGAAAATCAGGGCTAGAGGCATGCTCAGCAGTAGAGCACCAGTGTAGTGAACAACAGCTTGTGTTCAAACTCTGCTACTGCCAAAAAATAAAAAACAAATAAAATAGAAAAAAAAAGAAAAATTTCAGCAAGATGGTAGTGACAAAAGCTAGAGACTACTGGCTCAGAAATGATCACAATACAGGGTTTGTTTGTTTTTTTCCTTACAGTGAATCTCAAGTCTATTAAACTTGGAAAACTGGCCTCATATTTCCTCAAGTAACCTAACAGCTTCATAGTAGAATATTGCTGCCTGTATTTGTTTACATAATTATTGATCACTAAGAAGTAGTCTTTTCAACAGTGCTTCGCTAAAGTAACAAAAATCCAGATTCTGAAAATTATTTTCTTATATCTGACTATTAATGACTCAAGATAGTCTGCATATTTAAAATCATAAGCAGAGCTGGAGGTGTGGGTCCAACCGAGGTCCAACCCCTCAGCACTGTAATGAAAGAAACAGAAACTGAACATTTAAAATCAGAACCAAATCTAGGTAATACAAAATGCACTGCAAAGTGTAGTGTTCTGCCCTCCATGTTACCCTCTACCTTTAATCAATTCTAGTCTTAAAAAGAAATACTCCATGTAATTAACACATGACCCATAATTTCTCTCCTGGGCATTTGTCCCAGGAAAATGAAAACTTGGGATTCACAAAAATGTGCTTCATGAGTGTTTATAGCCGTTTTATTTGTAATAGTCGAAACTTAGTGCTGACTACTAACCTGCTCCAGGTGAGTCTCCAGAAGACAGTGAGGCACAAAAGCATCCAATGCCAGGTTGTTTGCAATGACTCCAGTTATGGAACAGTCCACAGGGAAAATCAGAGATGGAGCAAGGAGGAATACTGGCTAGGGCTGCGGAGAGTACATGAGACTGGGAAAGTAAGCATGTGAAGGAGGGCAGCAGGAGGCTTCCCCTGGTGATGGAAATTCTCCCCCTCTAAACCTAGTCCTTTCAAAGTTAAATCCCTCTCTACATTTTTACAATTTGATTGCCTGGGAACCCGCTACTAAAATTAGGGCTAAATTGTAATGGTTATTATTAGCTTAGGTTTATCATTTCGTATTTGACCTGGGCTTTAACTTTTCATCCTACTCAAATGAATTCAATTACTTGCATTTCTTTTGTTGTAAATTGGTCCAAAGTTACCTTAGAAGTAAGTACGGGTCAAATAATAAATATATTTTTTGAAGAAAAAAAAAAACCTTAGGCCTTGACAGTAAACAATACATTACAAAATGTTATACTTTGTAAAGCAGGTTAGCCCAAGGATCTCTGTTATTCTGTACAACTGCATGTGAATTTATACTTATTTCAAAACATAAAATGTAATTTAAAATAAAACTTCAAAAGAGTAATATTGTAGCCTACTAAATTTTCTTTGCAATACTGAGACCTAAACTCCACAACTCACCAGGGCACTTGGATTCTTTGTAAGAACTGTGAAAGTAGATGATGTATGAAGTGGGCTGCTCACCCAATGACTCCTAGCAGTTTTTGTAAACATCTCAGGCATCTGTGAGTCTCCCCAGTTCCCACTAGGGGCAACCTCTGGCCAGACAAACACCTTTCAGAGTTCACATCATAAGGCGGGAAGTCTGACCTTTTCTGGACTGCTACAAAGAATTCCCCAATGACCAGGGAGTCAATCACCTCCTGGTCCACCCAGGTAGGACCTCTTCAGGAGACCAGGATGTCAGCCTTCATGTGAATGTGCTTTCTTACACAGCAAAGGCTCTGCCAGTTACAAGAACTTTTTCTACTATCTGCATTGCTTTAAATCATTTGTTCCAGGAGGAAATACTCTATTCCAAGGGGATCAAAAAATATACATAGACACTTGTCTAGTCTTTTTCTTCCAAAAATGTAATAGATCATATTAGAAAGTGATTTTTACCCACTTTAATGACATCTGATTACTAAAATACTTATATGATAGATTTCAAAGTCCTCTTTTCCAAGATTAACTCTAATGCATTAATATGCACTAAATAAAAACATTTTAGAAAAAAAGAGTAAGCATATAAAATGTATTTGTTTTCTTATGCTGGGGTTAGAGACAAAAATGCTCAGCGGTAGTCTGTAACATCACACATTTTCAATAAAGTTGGTGCTGGAGAGGGGTTTGGCCTGCTGCGTGACAACTGGGGCCTTTAATTGGAAACATACTGTAGTCCATAAATGGGGACAATTGGTTTTCCACATCCTCTGTATCTAGTCTAAAACAGATCACAGGAAATGTCAAAGACCAATGGCGGAATCTAAGAGAGCAAAGCATCCTTTAGTAGTCACAGTTAGTCACCTCCACTCCTATCTGCACTGCTCTGACTGGGCTCCCATGCACTACTTACAAATGCTACCTCTAAGAGCCTTCAAATAACTTAGCAGTGGAGAGGATAGTTCCTAGCTGCCTACTATAAAACATTACACACCAAGACTCCAATGAGAGCAACTGAACACTTGCAAACGCTGAAGGCTGCCATCTACACAAACTACCCAACTACCCACTCAAAATGGAGATACAATTCTGCAACTACCTCAGGTTACATGGAAAATAGAATTATATGCTAATTTGTTCCTATATTAAGTTATCATAGAAGTTCAGACGAAGCACAGTAAAATGAATTCTGGAAAAAAATTAACTAAATAGATTGGTATGTACCGTATCAGAGTAAACTGTTTATCTTAATAGATATAAATACTAGAGGATTTTTAAAGCAGAGTACATTCTCTTTTTCAAAACTAAATGCTTTAACCAACCCCGGGCAATGACTTACATGATTTAAAAATATTTTATATAAATAATTGTTCCCTAAAGGAGAACGGAGGCAGGCTCATTTTTTTCAAGTGGAGGAAAAAAATAGATATGGGCATAGCATCCAAAACTAATTTCCTCAGAAAAGCTTCATTTAATCTATGTATTTCTTAAATTTAATCCACATAAATAGTTCTGCCTGTACTGTAAAATGAACACTCAGCTTCTTTGATAATAACTTATTTTCTATTTCACTCCAGAATAAGCTAATAAACAACTAAGTGTTTTGTTTAATGAAGACTTTTCTGGAGAAAATATGCTTGCTTTTAAAAATCAAAATCAATATGTTACATTGTCTTTTTTGTTCTGGAAGGCAGAAGTAATTCTGTGGATACTCCATTGCTTTTTTAAAAAGTATAAATAAAATTAATGGTTGGGAAATTTGGCCTTTGACAGAAAAAGGGACCCAGGGAAGCCGATGATGGAAGAGTGGCATCACAGGTAGTCACAAAGCAGCCAGATCGGTACAGGACACAACAAAGACAAGGGGCTGAGAGCATCTGTCTCCGGCCCTTAGGCAAATTCCCAGGAAAAAACAAGAAAGCAATAATTTTGCATTCTAGAACCTAGCTTCGTCTCATTAAGAGGTATTTATAGTTTCTATTTTATTTCACCATTTCCAATACCACGCAGTAAGAGCTAGCTAGCAGTCACAGAGTCAGAGTCATCTGGATTTCCATGAAATCATAACTCACTTTTCATTTCTACAGGGTTTACCTATTGATTGTAATGATTTAATAACTACTAGTTACCATAAAATGAGTTAGGTTCCCACGGAACATCAATTTGACATCTTGTTCAAATACTTACTTTTCAGCTATCCACTACCAGCACTATTTTACTTGATTTTCTCCTCACCAGGTCAGATATAGAGACACTAATACAGATGTAAAACCTTCAGACACCTTCATATGTAAATATACAGGTATCTAAAAGACTGAGAATTACATTAAAAGGACGAGAAAAGGTCTGACAAAAACGAAAACATGAAGAGTCCTGATAAAAATCAGGACTTAAGTAAATTAATCTTCATTCCCAGTGAAAGCAATCTGATATGCAGAGACTGAGGGTTAGTCTACCATAAAATATGGCACATTAAATACTACAATAACCCACTTGAAATGTCTTAATATAATTATGTTGTCATCTATAAATGATTGTACGTATAATTATATTTTAGTATTCATTACCATGGTTCCAATGCAAAATATATTGAAACTGTAAAAGATACTGAGCCAAGTTGGGATAACATCAAACAAATTAGTAGCTATTCTATGACTAAAACTGAGGCTCAAAATCTTTAAACACAAGACATTTGGACCATGGTTATCACAGGTGACAGTCATTCCTGCTGGCTTGCTTATATTCCTGATGGTATTCCCCCAGCTAGCTGAGAAGAATAAGAATCTTCTTACACCCAGCTAAAAGGAAAGTCTTTACCATGCCCCTTGAAAAAGCTCATTTTCACATTACTCAGGCTTCATTATGCTAAATCAATATTCGTTTAGTCACTAGGGTTATTGACATATTTTAAAATAAAAGTATACCCTTCAGCTACTGCACTCATTACAGGTAATTTGTCTTGTCAGAGAGCAGGGAATATTACCCTAGTCTTTCAGGGGCTGACAGCCCATGGAAATACCTCCCCATGGTTACAACTGTAAATAATTTTAAGGTAAAATATTGAAAAATCAATGACTGTTTCCTGCAATCTGTCACAAACAAATCAATCATAATCTGCACTGCCAGAGAGTATGATTTGAGGGAGATGGGAGCAGATGTAATTCTTGGCTGGAATCTCTCATTTCAAAATCACTTCACATAATGGTGTCATCATTTAAACACTTAACAGTCTAAGCGACTGCCACTGTAACGTGGTGTTGGACACAGCCACAGGAAGAGGAGGAGAAAATGCCACCGCCATTATGTTAACAAACATTTCATTTCAATGGCTGGAGCATTAGTAAATTTGCTTGCAAACAGTTTTACCTGCCCCTTTCACAGTCCTAAATTAATCAAGGCTGATTTTCTGTGTTCTGATGCCTAGGAAATAGCCCACGACCCAAATTATACTCTCTAAAGCACATGTGCCTTTTAATTTAAAAGCCCATTATAGAGAATAAAATTTGGAATTAACAAATAAGACATTTGGGTTACAGCATATTGATAATTCTATGTAACAATGATGAAATAGTGTCATTCATGCCAAGATCATATCTTTATGACTTAAAAGTAGGTTTAAAGGTCTGTTGCTGATGTTTCATTTTATAGTTTTCTATTGATAAATACTGTTCTCAACTTTCTAATATTGTAGTATATTCTAAAATAACTGGTAAACACTTGTCATTTTAAAAAACTGAATTCCATACACAGGCCATACCATAGACTGCTATTTTAAAAGTCGGAGTAATAATAACCCAAATATACCAAGTGTAAAGTCTTGATCAAGGTCATGATATTAAATTGTTTCACAATGTAAACTGCTTTCCAAATAACCACTTGAATATCAGCATTTTTCCTAGGCTACATTTTAATGGCTTCTCTAGCTCCTTACACCTTCTATAGAGGGAAGAGTAAAAGAATCTGAAATGGATATATTTTTCTTTTCTAAAGATTAACCCCAAACACTGTTTGATGTAAAGTCCTTTCTAAAGAGCTGTGTGTTTAAATGGAGCCCAGTTCCTTTCATGGAAGAAATCAACTTGAACTATCACATTTCTTACCAATTGCCTCCTTGTATAATTAGACACCATGAAGCCCTTTATTGTAATAGTAATATTCTTCCCTAGATATAGGTCAGGGGTAGATAATTTTAATGACTAGAAAATTCCTGCATATCATTTGCTTTAAAAGGAAAACAAATAGATACAAATACTATTATACAATTTAAGCCTGTGTAAACATTCTTAGACAAGTAATCAGTTCTGATTTAGAACAATTTCTAATTTACCCTACATCATCAAGTGGTAACACGACATCAGAGCATAAACCTCTGATAGACACAAACAGGATCCCAATTTTTCATCAAGAAGCTTAGATTTTGTTAATACCAATAGTTTTAAAATGAAAACACATAGTAAATTATCAAAGACAACATGCAGAATAAAATAGAGCTCTCAATTCCCTGTGAGTCTTTGCAACAGCAGAGTAAGGAGTAAGCCAACCTAGAGAGCGGAAGAGGAAAGCACTGCCTACAACCTAGAACTGCAGGAAAATTGGAAAGGGACCCCAGGTCTGAAGTAGGAAAAGAATCCACGGTAGTGTCCCCAGCTCTAGTGAACTTGTACTAGCTCACCCCAGGCTTGGCCTAAAGAACTTGCCAGCAGAGCCTTGGGAACAAGCTGCCAACCAGCAAGTCTTGCACTCAGAGCCTAGACAACCCCCAGATAAATACCACAAAGAGCAAAGAGGTAAATGAGGACAGTTCCACATGCTAAATACATGACCATCAACCACCAAGTGAAATGTCATCTACCAGAGCTGTGCAGGACACTACCTTCTCAGAAAGAAGCTATTTTAAGGGCGCTGAGCACGCCGAAATGATATTTCTCAGCTCTCGCAATACAGCCCACAACCCCAGTGACACCGGCTCCGAAACTCAGCAGAGGAAGTCAAGATAATTTACATACCCAAATTTAAAGAAACTGCTATCTACTGGACATACCTTGTATGTAGGAAAGGTTTGAGATTACACAGAAAAGTATTCTTGCAAAAGAGATATTATTAACTCCAGGTCCTCAGAATCTTCTCCTCCCAAGAAGCCAGTACGAGAGGCTCCATTAACTGCGGAAGCTTGAAGAGAAAAAACAGCAATAGTTAGGGTCATCTCTCCTCACTTCCTTCCTTCAAGCAATTACAATTTAATTACCAATACTTCAATTGATTTTATTCCTGTATGATACATTTCTCAAAAAGCACACTCTTCAGCTATTTCCACTAAGGAACATTTAGTAGAACCTTCTCAATTAATCAAGCATAACCCATTACTACTGAAAGGATGTTTCTCCGTAATCTCAGAACAGTGGCAGACACCCCTCCATCTATTTCCTATAAAAGGAATTGCATTTTACTACATTTGTGTACCTTTCGTGTAATGAAATATGAATCTTAACAGATCTGGCCAAAAACAGATATGAAATTGGACAAATGTGCACATAGATTTTTCCTTTATCCTTAGAAGGTAAAAGCCCCCAATACCTGTGTGTTTTAATTTCAACAACTATAGATAGATAGATAGATAGATAGATAGATAGATAGATAGATAGATATAGATATAGATATAGATGCTTTAAAAGCAAAACATACAACTAAGCTTAAAGGTAAACAAAAAGAAGCCAGGTTGCTGGTTGCTGAACATTTTCTTCCTGTCTGTATCACACGTGTATTCTAACTTGTGTATACTTTCCTAGATGAAGCCCATGTTTGTGAGCCACAATTATTGCATAGGGACACAACAATGGATGATTACTTCACATCACAGTCCAAACCACTTCCATGCCTTTGAAAGTATTTTCAAGAAGCATGCGTTTTGTTAAAGGCTACGTGACTGAAGTTGCTTCAGTAAAATGAGCCTCTTTCATCAGAAAATAATCATTATTACTTAATAAAATGCCCTGCATCACTAATCTAGCTTCTTGCTCTGCCTACTAAATATACTCTTCAAAATAATTCTAACAGCTTTTCTCCTCCACCTACATTTATAGCCATATTTTTCTTTGTTTTTCTTATCTTTACGTAGTTGTACAAAGGACTTGCCATTTAATGGAGCAGTTTATGAATATAATGAATCTTGATCAATGTCACCCCTTTCAACATTCTTACCCATTCGTCCCAACCTAACCCTTCTCTCACTTTTCAAAATTTTGTAGGATATCCCCACTTTCTCCTCTTCATTCTTACAACACCCCTCTTTTTTTTTTTTTTTTTACAAGAAATGGCAAGATGAGGACAGACCTATCTACTCTTTGCCATTTAGAGTTTGGAACCCATGACTGGAGCTGATACCTCCACTAAATGTATTCTTACAAGAATTACATAATTAAAAATTGTGATTTTCCATAAAAAGATTATTTCCTTTAAATAATAGTTCTACTTATATAAACTATCGCAATCTAGGTTTGAGTTTTACAGTGTGTTTCTAAATCTCACTGATAACATTAAATTATTCCATGCAATTCCAAGATGAAAAATAAAATTAAATTATTTGATGGCATTCCATGAATCAAAGAAAATTATTCACTCCCCTCTTATTTACTGCATTAATAGAGTTTTAATCATCAGAGGTCCCCAGTAACATACTCCGTATTCTACACTTGGCCCTGTTACCCTTTACCTACCTATGCTTGGGTGAAGCCAGCAGACACTGTGTGAGGCTATCCCACACTCAAGTAGAGCATGGCTTGAAGATGAGCCTTAGCCGTGCAAGGGCAGATTTCCGCCATGTGAAGGAAGCCCTCTGCTCCGGAGAGAAGTTAGCTGGAAACATGAGGCTCACTTAGTACCTGCCAGAACCACAGTAAACCAGGAATTCTTTGGGGATATTAGATATGACTATCTAATCTAATTTTCTCCAAGGTATCACTCTGTATTACGGCAAATAAACAAATGAAAGCTGTATCAAGGTGCAGAATATCATTAGCCCGAGAAAAAGCTAGAAAAATGGATTACATAAATGACAACTGTAGGAGAAAATTATATTCTCTTCTCCTGAACAAATGTTAAGTGCATCCTCACTAATAAAGGCTTAAACTCAAACTACATTAGAAAATACTGTTTTTCAATTTTGAAGGGTCTAAGTTAATTTGACAAGCTAAATTGGTGTTTAGGTATACCACCGCCATAAAAACACTGTACATTTATGCAGAAATAAGTTACCAGGATCATACCTCAGATTAAAGCTGTGATACTGTCCAAATAAGGGGAAAAAAGAAGTATTAGATTTTATATGTGCTCAGGGCGCACCAGCTGCTGTTCCCTTAAGAAAAAGTATTCACCAACAAACAGCTAAAGACGAAAACAGTATTTAAATACACAAGCCAATGCAATGTAGAAATGGGGGAGAAAGAGACAAAGATATTGAGATACTACCTCTCAAAATCGACTGTGCTATTTCAGAATTTAAAACAGTATTCCAAAATATGACACTGTGTTCATAATCTATTTTAAACAACATGTTTAATTCAGTCAGGATTACACGATTTCATTTACTCCCATCTAAGCATCTAAAGAACAGTTCAATTTTTCCTCAGATTTCTAGAATGTGTAAACATACCGAGAAATATGTGGTGTTATTAATTAAAAACAGATGACACCTAATTAGTTCTTGCCTCATTCCATGTCTTAAAACACGATATATCAAATTTAAAAATAATTCATGGACAATAGCATAAGCTTGGAGATTGTAACTGCCAGAGGGAGGAAGAAATTGATGGTGGAGGGGAGGTTGAGAGATAGTAATCATCTTAAAATTAACGCTCTTGTTTTAGTTTCAGCAAACAAATCTAAATAAGTCTTCCTTTGATTTTAGTTTACCATGTAATTCTAACCAGCTAATTATCCTTGGAGTCAAGAATGAGCTGGGACTCTACTCTCCACCTGGCTTTTCTCATCATATGGCTATGGTCTCCTTCACTTTCATTTCCTTTTTCTACAATGGGGTTTAATATTAAAGGAAAACACATGCTCATACTGATGGACAGGCAGCATCCAGGAGCTACAAAGAGAAGGAGGACTGGTAATGTGACACTTATGTTAAAGGTGCTGGGTTAGCCAAGGGTGACAGCCTCCATACCATCCCTCATGCCACTGATTTTGCATTCAGATACTCTAAATGAAGCACAGCAGTATTATTTTAGTGATTGCCCAGGTTATGTTTCAGCTTCTTCAACTCATCCCCTAGCTTCATTTGCTCAGTGAACTCAAATTTGCATAACACTATTTTGGAAGAAAAGTTTTTGTGTATTTCTAGACATAAAAATGAAGTATTTCATAATCTTCAGAGCCAGGTACTTGATATAAAAAAGAAATTGTTTTGGATTACTGAGACATTCTAGAGACTATTATTTCTTTCGTTAAAAAAATCAAGTGGTATAAATTTCTTGTACATTTACCTTTCCATTATGTTCCTGATCCTGCACATTAAGCATGTTCTTTCTCTACAAATTTATTCTGAAACACTAATACACATTTGCTTCATAAGAGGCTGTTCTGCTTTTTCTGCTTTTCTTTGGAAATTAGAAACCCTCATTCCACAAAGGTAAAGTACAAAGAAAGCCGACACAAGGTACTGCCAAAAAGCCACAAGTACATGCCAGAGCACTTAACAGTAAACTACCATTTCTCTGTAAAACTTCTGCTGCCAAGCTGCTCCCAAAATCTGGAAGCTTGGAGACAGGTTTCAAGTGCAATTAAATTCTCCCAAAGTAAAACTGTACGAAAATATGCCACCCTTCTTCTGTCTCCATTTATAGACAACATTTTCTCAGGATCTTAATTAAGATAACGATGCACACCTGTGTCAACATTCTCTGGCAAGACAGCCTTATCAATCATAATCCTTTAAGTACACTGAAAACAGCAAAGCGATATGAAGGAAGCAATCTGTTGCCTTTCTTGGGGTTGGCGCTGTCTCTCTCCCACAAGGAAGATGAGATCTCTAAAATACAGGCAGACCTACTTTTATGAGCCTTTAAAGTTTTAACTGTAAACAGCTATTACACTAAATAAACAGGAGTCACCTCCTCTGCACTTGATTGAAACAATGACAACTGTGCTTGTCTAAAACTTGAAGGGCAAGCCCCTTGGCCCTTGTCTTGGCCGTACAATTTGTGGATCGTATTCAAAAGCTCTGCTTAAGAGTTGTGCGTATCTGGATTCTGCAGACATGACAAACCAATAAAGCCTTAGGAAGTTTTAAAACGAAGTTTAGTGGCTCTACATGAAAAGCAATCAGAGCAGACCTATTCCTGGTGCAAGTTAACATGTTTAGGGAAAAAAATAATACAAAACACAATAGGGAGGGAAAAAAATTCTTCATAACCTGGGATGAGTGGGAGACAGATCCCACCTCTGCGTTTCAGCGACCAGACCGCTAACAAGTAAACAAGTTCCCAAACGCAAGGGCTGCTGAATAGAACGGTGAAAGCGAGGTTGGGGGGGGGGGGCAGACGTCACCACTATCCAGACAGAAAGCTAAAACCATGGTGTTCACCCGCAAAAACGTGAAAGCGTCTGTAATAAAAAAAACGGAGACACCCCGCCAAGATGCGATCTGAATTCCGCCTGCCAGCCAACGATCAGCCCTGGGGTCTCACACATTCAGCGCGAGTCTATCTCAGACGCCCGGGCGGCCCTGGCCAATCGAGCAGCCCAGCCATCAATGTGCAAATAAAGCAGAAAATAGAGACATCCTCAAGAAATGAGCCTTGGATTTGACGTAGAGCGAAGGTGACAACCAGAGCCACAGACACACAAACTCTAAACGCTCCAACGTCTCGCAGGCGTCTCTCCGGTCCTGGCCACAGATAAAACCTTAAGACAAATGAAAAAGGAAGGAAGGCAGGAAGGAAAAGCAGAAGAAAAGGAAGGAGGAAGGCGAGGGCGGAGGGCGCGCGGGGCGGCGGGGGAGGAACGGCCTGCGGCCCAGGCCGGCGGATTACGCAACCAGGCTTGTCTGCGCCACGGATTCGGATTCTCGCGGCACAAACCTCCGTGGCCCGGTTTCAGAAGTCTCCAGTCCTGGACCAGAGCCGA